CACGGGGAATGTACCTGCGCGCGCACCCCTGACCTCTGACCCCGTGGTCTCCCTCTCGCCCCCTGCCTAGCCTCAGTGCATCTTTTTAAAATCTCGAACCTGGGCGGGTCTTGACCCGAGGACCTCCGGTCTGACCCCTGACCTAACTATATTCTGGCCTGGCATCATTCTCAGCCCCAGATTTGTCACCCTAAACTTTGTCCTGACCCCAAATCCCATCCAGTTCTCAGGATCTTTGGCCTGACCCCAGATCCTTGCCTGACCCTGTTCCATCTCTGAAGCTCATCTTGCCTTGTCTTGATCACCTCAGTTTCTGTCCTGATGCTTGACCTGTCTATTCCCTAAACTTTTATACAGTCTCTGAACCCCCTTCCAGTCCTATCCTGTCTTCCTAACCCCCATCTGATCCACATCTGTCCAGACACCCACTTTCCATCTCCTCTGAGACAGAAGGACAGGGGTCCCAAATTACTTCTGTATTTTCTCCCTACCCTGTACTATTCCCCTGGTCCCTCTCCTGACTCCTGGTCTCCATCCTGGCTAACTACCTTTAGACTATCCCTTTGTCTCCTGCCCTATCCCTGCCCTCAAACCTGTGCTGTTTTCCCATCTTCTCTTGTCCCATCACTGTCCTCGTTCTACCCCAGTCTTTTCCTGTTCCTTACTTCCATTTTGCACCTGCCCTTTTCCCTATCCCTTCCTTTGATCACTGTCTTGGCCTGTCCACCATCATGTCTTCTGATTACTGTTCTATACTGACCCTGACCCCTGCTCTGCTCTTTTTTTTTTCCCTTCATTTTTTGTTCAGATAGAGTGGGAGGGAGGGAGAGAAACATTGATGTGAAAGGGACACATCGAGTGGCTGCCACCCGCACGACCAACCAGGGCCGGGGACAAACTGCAACCGAGGTACGCGCCCTTAGCGGGAACCGAACCCGAGTCTCTCTGGACCGCAGGCCGATGCTCTAACCGCTGAGCAAAACCGGCCAGGGCTGCTCTGCTCTTTTGACCCCTACTGCCTCCTACTTTTTCTTTAACCCTTGTCCTGAACCTCACTCCATCCCATCTCCTGGCCAGTGTCCTGGCCCCTTCTCTGTCCAACCTCCTGACCTCCACCCTACAATGCCTGATTTTGTCTTGTCCCCTACATTCTTTCCTGTCCTGTCCCTTCATCTTGTCCCAACCCCAGAGCCCTCTTCTACCCCTTTCCATGCCCCTCTACCCTATTCAGATCTCCCTCCTTCCTAACACACACTTTCCATCTCCTCTGAGACAGGAGGACAGGGGTCCCATTATACCCTGCCCTGAACTTGGAGGTTCTGCTGTTCCCATTGTCTTTGAAGTTCATCCCAAACGCTTATCTTAGCATGAGCAAGAACAAGCAGCCTTGTGGGCCTCTTGTGGCCAAAATGGTTTTTGTATGTGATTTCCCCCACCCCCACCCAGTGATCTCACACACAGCTTGCATTTCTCTCCTGCCCTAGGAGGGCATAGAACTGTTCCTATGCTCCCCACCCTCCCTAAGTGTGGAAGAACACCCTAAATTATTCAGTGACTCTGGGAGTCTATGAGGTCTGGGTCATATTTCCAGCCTTGCTAGTTTGGGGGCTCCTCCATGGGGCAGGTAAGCAAATATGTAGGGGTGTGAGACTCAAGGGTATGTGTGACTCTTCTAGGATGCGTCGATCCCCCCCCCCCATCTCCTGGTCCTGACCCTGGGTGCATGATCCTTGCTTTCCTGGCCTGAAAAAATTCCATTCTAGGCCAGAGACTTCAAGGCTTGGTAGCGGTGGGATGGGGCAGGAGCTTATCCCCCTTCTCTCAGCAGTAAACGTACAAATCTTTGTGCTAAGTCCAGCCAACCTCTGTGGAGCAGATTTGGGGGGGGCAGTCACTGCATGTTAGAATCAGACCCATCCAGTAGTAACAATAACAACAAGGTTCCCTTGCTGTCTGAATCTCGATTCTGAGGACAGTCAGGGATTTTGGATAGTGAGGAGGTACCGTGTTATTCATTTATGTTTTGTTCCTGCATTTCTCATAGAGAGTAGTGAGTTTGAGGAACGAGATGCCATATCCATCTCATTTACCTAAAATATTCATCCAAACCTATTAATAACAACACAAGCATCCCTCACTGTCCCAATCTATTTGGTACCTGCGTTGTGAGAGGGAGAGTTCAAATAGTTCAGACAGTGAAAGACCCCAAGTTCTCTGAATGTATTTTGGTTTTGCATTATATATATATATATATATATATATATATATATATATATATATGAATTTTCTGCCAGCTCTTTTGCTCTTCTTCTTTGTCACACAGTTCTGGAGCTGTGTTGATAAACTGTTAAAAAAATGTTTGTGCATTTTATATACTGAGTAGGAAGAATTCAGATAATGAATATCAACTCTAACTCAAAAATCTATTTACATCTTTCCATTTTCCTGAGCTCCAGTGGCAAGAATTGGGATAGTAAGGGTACTGTGTTATGTAAATATATTTGGTCCCTGCATTTTTTATGTTGAGTAGGGAGAGGTTGGATAATGAGGGGAAACAGTTCTGTTTCAAATATGTCTGGTTGGACAAGTAGGGAGGGTTCCAGGTCTAGGTAGCAAGTAGGGAGGGTTTTGAGGCTGAGGGATACTGGTGCTGTCTCAGAAATTCACCTGAATATACTTAGTTCCTGATTTTGGTAACGAGAGTTTGGACACGTTATTCAAGAGAAAATAGCTGTTTCAAATTTATCAGTGAGGCTGAGGGATACTTGCTCTGCCATATATATAACAGCCAGTTTATAAACACAGCTCCAGATCCATGTGACAACATATATCTATATACATATATATTTATATACATATATATATATATATGTATGTATATATATATATATATATATATGTATATATATATATAAAATATGTTTCTGACTTTGGGTTGGGAGGAATACTTGTAATTGTGACAGCCAATGCATATTGAGCATATAGCTTGAACCAGGCACTGTCCTAACCAAGCTTTAAATATATTAACTCATGTCATGCTCACAACAACCCTGTGAAGTCCATATGGTCATCATCACCCCCATTTTACTGATGAGAACACTAAGGCCCAGAGAAGTTAAAGGACTTGTCTAAGAAGTTACAGAGGCAGTTAGTGGCAGAGCTGGATTGAACCCCAGATCCACTACTTGCTACCCCTCCATAAGGCCACCTGAAGCTCAAGTCCCAGATGCAGTGGGGCTTAGAGGTTGGCCAACTTCCAGGCTATTAAAAGTTGTGGGCCAGGGCAATGATGTGTGTGTGTGTGTGTGTGTGTGTGTGTGTGTGTGTGTGTCTGCCCTGCCTGTTTGCCAGGTTCAAGAGTCCCTTCTCTCCTCCTTACTCCTGCACCAGCCCACCTCTTCATTATTGTCGTTGTTATTGACAGTCATTAATGACATGGTGTGAGTGACCTTGCGTTGGGAAATGCCTTCCAAAGTACCTTTGGCCTCTCTTGGCTCTGTAAGCACCAGTTACCCATTGTTCAGATGAGGAAACCTAAGCCTTGAGACTCAATCTCCATTGCCAGCCCTTGTCCCTCTCATGTCTGATTCTATAAACATGCCTCTTCACAACATCCTTGGTGCCCCTCAGCCATGGCTGAGAGGATACTTCTCCACCAATACCCAGCTACCTTATAGCTGCTGCCTCCACCAGCCCCAGGCAGCGTAGGGGGAGGGGAGATGAAAGGGACCTTTGTGTTCGGTGCTGGAAATCTCATACTCAGGAAGAAAGGTGGGCAGGGTGGCAGGAGGCATGTATGTGGGGTGTTGCTGATACAGAGGGAGCTTCTCTTCAGGCTTGGGTCACATGCCAATCAGGCAAGGAACTTGCCTTACTCTGCCCTCTCACCTCACAGCGTGGACTGCTGCAGGGGCCTGGGCTGGGCTTGGGCTCTGAGGTCACAGAGCAGAGGGTCCCAAGTGGAAAGCAGGATGTGTGGTATGTGCTGGTGCAGGCCCAGAGCCCAAGTGGTGGTGTGGGGGAGACAGTACATTGTAGGGACTAAGAACCATCAATTTCCATGACTCTTGGCCAGAAATGCCCAAGGGGGAAGAATGAATAATGGGGGGACCCCAGTATGGATGTGAAGCAGCATGAGTCCCCTTTTCCCACTCCTCCTCCCTTGCAGGAGTAGCCTCTGTCAGCCTCCAGCCCAGGACCCAGACCCCCAAGATCTGATTCGGCCTGCTCCTATGCTTCTGTGATCAGAATCAGACCTGTTCACCTCTCCAAGCCCCAGCTTCCACATCTACAAGCTGGCTATGAGGAGCTGGGTCTGTGCCATCCACCCAGGTTTGTAGGGGCTGCAAGGGGTTAAATCACATGTGTGCTTTGTCTGTTTGTTGGGATGACTTCTCCTGGAGCTGCAGAAGGTGGTAGGGCCTTGAGACTTGGTCTCTCCTTAGAAAACTTTACCTTTTCTATGGCCAGCTGGGAAACTATTACCTCTGGGAGGGTTGGAATTTCCCTAAGACCGTCTCACACCCATACCTTGCCCTGGAAAGAAAGGGTAGGGGCCTCAGGAATGTGATGAGAACTGCCAAGAGATACACACTGATTTACACCCCAGGCCTCACCAGACCTTCCTCTCTCAGCTCCCAGGTGATACCCTGGGCTGAGCAGGGTCTGATCTGGGAACTTGGGCAGCTCCAGAAGCAGCCACCACTGTCACCACTCTTAGACCTTCTTCCCCAGTTATCTTCTGGGTGTATGGGGTGAGGGGAGAGGTCCAGGCTCTCTTCTTGGCCGTGCTGGACACCCTAAGGGTACCTGTCCTCAAGACTGTCCCTAAGGATGGCCGAGCCTTGGCAGCAGGCAGGCAAGGGTTAAAAGGTATGGGCCGGCCCAGTCCCTGGCCAGGTAGGCTGGGCCATTGCCTAGTGGGAGGCGGTCTAGGCAGCTGCCACTGCACTCACTGCTCACTGCCACTACCAGCGGGACCGGGCCTGGTGGAGACAACTATTTTTTCAGGTACCTGAGGCCATCCTGCAGTACCTATCTGGTATTGGTGAGCACCTGGGAACATGGGCCTACAGGTTGGGGTGAGGAGGGTATGGAGTGTGCTAATGTTCCCTGCAGGAAAGAGCTGGATCTGTGTGAGAGGACAGTGAGGAAGGAGGGCCTGAGTAGATGGGTGAAGCCCAAAATGTCCAATTTCCTTTCCTGGAATGAAGCTGATCCCTGGCCGGAAATGGAGGAAGGGAAGGGATCAGGGAGAAGAGAAGCCAGAATTCCCCTTCTCCACTCCCCCCACTTCCTCTTCCCTTTTCCTTCCCTGTGGGAGTAGCCTCTGCCCTCCCTCAACCTGGGGCCCAGCCTCTCAGGAGAGCCCAGTGGATTGAGAACCCGCCTGCCTGCCCACCCCCAGCTGTTCACCTAGAGTCGGGCAGGGGGCCCTTAGTGCAATGTGAACAGTCTAGATACTGGCAGTTTATATTCGCTCCCATGGTGGCAGGATGTGGAAATGGGGGTCCCACTGAAGGTGTTGAGGTGCCACCCAGGTGAGGTGTCTTGGTTGTAAACAGTCATTATAGCCAGGAATTTCTTGGTTGTGGTGTCAGAAGGGCAGACCTGAAAAACCTGCTGGGCCCGCCTCTGGGTGTGGGAGTGTTCTCTGCAGCTCTCCTGCTGCAGCCCATCCTGGGACCGCACAGGCCCACCAGTGGGGAAACCCAGGGGCTGGTGGGGGAGGGTGTTGGGGAGGGGGCTGCTGGGATCCCCTTCTCGCCATCTCTGGGTGGGCACCTGGCAGCCCTGGGCCTCAGGGCCAATGCGTCAAGGGCAGGCGAGCGGAGGCAGAGGTTCAGGAGCCGGGTGTGGGGGTGTGGGGCGTGGACCCTGTGTCTAGCCTGCCCAGTGACCCCATGACTCAGGCCCTAGCTATGTCCTCAAGGTCAGACTGACAGGGTGGAGTCAGGGTTCCTTTCTGGACCCTGTGTTGACTTCCGAGATACCGTGAGCTCCCCGGAAGGGAAGGCTCGAGGCAGCTTAGTGTCAGATGTAGGACCAGTCCTGGTGAACAGGCCCCCTGGGGAGGAGTGGAGGTTCCTGTTGGGGTGAAGGAAGGTTTAGGGGAGCCCTGGGAGAGTTCCTCAAACCCAAATGGAGGCTAGGGTAGAAGGACCCCCAGGAGCCAAATGGCAGAGGGGGCTGAGCTGGGACCTCAAGGAAACCCACTGTGCTGGGCAATGTCGGACCTCGGAGGATGGGCATGTGAGCACCTCTGCAAAGTACACGATGCTGCCTGGGTGTGCCAAAGGGCTTTAGGTACTGATCCCTGCCCCTGATGTTGAGGATAGGGAACCAGAGGAGGGGTACAGACCCTATGGGGCAGGTAGCAGGACTTCTGAGGAACTGGTGGCACCATGTTTGCAGCTTGGCCACACCTCCCAATGTATAGATGGGGAAGGGGCTTGAACCCATGCTTTCTTGGTTCCCTGGGTCTTCTCCACACCTAGCCAGCATGTCATACAAGCTGGGGAGTTCTAGGTAGGTAGGGATGGGACCTCTGTGGCCTCATGAGGCCCTCCCAGGCACCTACCACTGAGGTCAGGCCAGGTGGTGGCAGGTGATGTCACCTGGCTGCCCAGCTGGGGACCAAGCAGGATATGGGAGGGAGGTAGAAAACTCCAGAGGAGGGGACAAGGGCAGGGCTGGGTAGAAAACTCCAGAGGAGGGGACAAGCAGGCCCCATGGTCAGCAAGGGAAGCTTGGGGCAGAGAAAGAGGCAGGAGGCAGTCTGCTTGTTATCTGTTGTTGTGGACTTTACTATTCACAGTCCCGGCAGGGAGACGTCCTTCTGATGGGTACAGGACAGGCTGGGGTGGGCAGAGGGGCTGGAGGGGTCAGGAGCCAAGTCAGGGACAAGTAGCAATCCACAGATCTAGGCTTGATCCCTGGGACAACTGCCTCGTCATTCTTTCATTCACCCAGCAGACATTCACTGAGCACTTGCTGTGCACATAGAATTTTTCTGAATGCCAGAGATACTGATGAAAACAGGACAGACATGTTTCCTGTCCTCGTGAATGTACAAGGGAGGGAGTCTCTTTCTCTGGACCGCAGGCTGATGCTCTAACCAGTGAGCCAAACCGGCCAGGGCGGGAGGGAGTCTCTTGTTGGAACAGCAGTTGTGAGGGGATGTAATGTGGTGGCCCACCTCTGGAAGTGATATGAGAGCATGTGAGAGCCAGGGGCTGACATGGTGAGAAGTGAAAAGAGCACTCCAGACAGCAGCCACAGCCTGGGCAAAGACCCTGAGGTCAGATGGGCTGTGAGCTTATGAGTAATTGGTGGGGTTGGAACAGCTCTAGTGATGGAGAGTGTTGGACCAAAGGGGTGATCCTTGGCTCTGTCCTCAGCCAGAGGCAAGTTACTTCACCTCTCTGTGTCTTACTCTCCTCATCTCTAAACTGGGGGTAATGACAACCACAGAACTGTCATCACAAGATAGTTGTAAAGATTAAAGGTGGCATATAAGGTAACTCTTCCAGGCACTCAGGTGCTTAATAAATGCCCACTGTTGTTATAGTTGGTTGAATCTGTGACATTAATTTTTGCTCCCCAGGTGAGACTCCTGACTGTGGCCCATGGGCCTCTGAGGAGGCATCATAAGTCCGCCCAGCTCCCCACTTGCTGTGCTCCCACTCAATGGGAAGGGAACCAAGGTACCAGGGCCAAGTGTAGGCCAGATATTGATACAGATTCTGAGAGGGCAGGTCAAGCAGGTGGGTGGGGTTGGGGTACCCCTTCTTCCTGGGGTGTGGGAAGCTGGGTGAGGGACCACACATGTGCTTCCTTAATGGTTCCTGTGCATCACTGTCAGGCCTTGTCCCACCATAAACCACGGCCTCTTGACAATACCGGGATGGAAGTCAAAGGTCAGCTGATCAGTTCTCCCACTTTCAATGCCTCAGGTTGGTATCTGTTTCCCGCTCCTGCTGCCTCCTCCCCTGCTCTGAGTCACCTGCCCGCCCACTTGGGAAGGGTTGGTCCCTGGCCTCACAGGATACAGGATGCCTGGCTGCCTCACTGACCTTTGCTCCTTCTGTGTCCAGCTGCCCTGTTCGGAGAGGCTGCCACCCAGGTGAAGTCAGAGCGTCTGAGGGGACTGCTCGACCGGCAGCGGGCTCTGCAGGAGGCTCTGACCCTGAAACTTCAGGAGCTACGCAAAGTGTGCCTCCAAGAGGCGGTGAGGGCTTGGCCCTACGAGTGTCGGGTGGGGGTGAGGATCCAGGGCCCCTTGGCAGGCAGACTGGGGTGGCCATTGCTGAGCCACTTGTCTGAGCTGCACATTCCCTGTCACCCTCTAGCTCCTTAAAGCTCAGCTTAGATGTCTTAGAATCAATAAAATATGGCAGTGGAGGCCTATAACCCCTCATCAACAACCTGAAATCCAAAAAACTTTACAAAACAATTGTTATTTCCAAAATTTGGCAGTAAAACCTGACCTGAACTGACACAGGGTGATTTATAGTGGTGATTTACCCCTCTTGGTGTGAATATCCACAGTTTGCCAGAAATAATAATGCAGTTCAGAGCATGTAGCACCAGGTCCTGAAGGAGTGTTCTATAATATGCAGTATATAGACTGTGTTGTCTTCATAAAAACTCAGAAATTCTGGATTCCAAAGCAAGTCTCCCTGCCTCCCACGCCCACTGACCAGGATTTGGGCCATCAAGGGGCTGAGAGTCCAGGCTGCACAACTGCCTGGTGGAGAAATGGGAGGAGGAAGCCAAGTAACAGACATTCGATGCCAAGCAGGACTGAGCTCCTATTAGGACTTCTGTAGCTTCTGGAATCATTACTGCTTTGCCCCATCCCCCCAACTAACCCTTGACAGTCTCTGATCCCTGCCACCCCCCCCCCCCCAGGAGCTAACTGGCCAGCTGCCCCCTGAGTGCCCTCTGGAGCCTGGTGAAAGGCCCCAGTTGGTCCGCCGGCGGCCCCCTGCAGCCCGAGCCTACCCTCCACCGCTCCCCAACCCAGCACACCACTCCTTGTGCCCTGCTGAGGTGAGCAGATGGTCAAGGAGAACAAGTTGGGGGTGGGACAGATACAGAGGAGGAGGAGCCTGGAGGGAGCCTGGACAGGGAGGGGGGTTGCATCCTGGGGAAGGAGAGGCCAAGATGAAAAGAGACTCGCCTGAGGGAAGTGAGTTCCTGGTCTGAAAGAGGATGCCAGTCCCTAACTGTGGGGAAAAGCCTCTCACCCTACGGAAAATGAATGGGCTCAGACTCTAATCAAGAGGCGCCCTATCAGAAGAGGGAATAAGCTCCACCCCCAGGAGGAATAGGTCCCGCCTCCAGTGTAGATGGGCTCTGCCACCGCCTGGCTCCTGTGCTTGGCATTTTCCTATATTTGGTTCTATCCCACCCTCTCTCGTGGGCCCTGCAGGAGCTGGCTCTCGAGGCTCTGGAACGCGAGGTGTCAGTACAGCAGCAGATCGCGGCAGCTGCCCGCCGCCTGGCCTTGGCTCCTGAGCTGAGTGCCGAGCAGCGCCGGCGCCGACGCCAGGTCCAGGCAGATGCCCTTCGGAGGCTGCATGAGCTGGAGGAGCAGCTCGGGGACCTCCGAGCCCGCCTAGGTCTCCCGGTGCTCTCACTGTCCACAGGGGCAGTTATCACCACCCAGGGTGTCTGCTTGGGCACACGTCTCGCTCAGCTCAGCCAAGGTGAGCCAGGCCCTGTCACCTCACCAGTGAAAACAAGGGAATAGGCATTAGTTAAGGGACTAGGTAGGGGTGGGAGAACAGCCAGTGAAAAGTGGGTAGCAGGTAGAACCTAAGGGACCTGAACATAAGAGGAGTGTAGGTTAACTGGCTCTGTGCAAGGGTGGGACCACTGGAACTGACCTATAGGCCCCAGGAAAGTTTGGAGCCAAGTCTCTGGTGGTCTGGGATTCAGGTAAAGGTGGATTCTTTGGGAGGGTACAGGGTAGGGAAGAGACTGGCCAGTGGTATAAGGGGATGGCCCCAGGCCCGGCATTGATGGGCCAGGGTCTCTCCCTTCTCCCTTGTAGAGGATGTAGTTCTGCACTCGGAGAGCAGCTCCCTCTCAGAGTCTGGGGCCAGCCATGATAATGGTGAGGACCCCTGTCACCCAAACCCATATATCCTTTGTTGCTTGGCCCCTCCCCTCCCCCTCCAGCCTCTCCTAAGCTATGTCCTGTCCTCCAGTGGGGCTCCCCTCTTCACTTTCAGCCTGCTCAGCCCTGCCCAGCCCTCTGTCCCTCCCTGCCTCCTTAGTCCCTGCCCTTTGCTTTGCCCACAACCTATCTGACCCCCTCTCATTGAATTCTCCCCAACTTTCTTCTACCTAGAGGAACCTCGTAGCTGCTTCCCTCTGGCTGAGCGCCCCTCGCCACCTAAGACCTGGGACCAGCTGCGGGCAGTATCTGGGGGCAGCCCTGAGCGGCGTACCCCATGGAAACCACCCCCGTCAGATCTTTATGGGGACCTGAAGAGCCGACGGAACTCTGTGGCCAGCCCCACCAGGTAAGGGCAAGCTTCTTTCCTCCTTTCCCCATGAGCCAGGAGTAGGGTCCTGAGCCTGGGCTGGCAGGAGAGGGTCTGCTGGTGGGGACAGTCTCTAATGTGGACCCCTACCCCGGCCTGCTTGTCTCTGTCTAGCCCCACACGCTCGCTGCCCAGGAGTGCCTCCAGTTTTGAGGGGCGAAGTGTGCCTGCCACCCCTGTCCTCACCCGGGGCACTGCCCCCCAGCTCTGCAAGTAAGGGGATTAGGGGGGTGGATTTGAGGACCAGAGGAGGGAAGCATTAGTTCTAACTGGGAGAGCCCCGGAAGGTGTGGCTTAGTTGCTTGGACGTTATTACCGTGCACCAAAAGCTTGCCAGTTCCATTCCCGATCAGGGTACTTGCCAAGGTTGCGGGCTCGATCTCCAGTAAAGGGCAAAGGGCGTGCAGGAGGCTGCTTGTCAGTATTTCTGTCTCTCTCTTTCTCCCTCTCCCTTCCTCTGTCTCTAAAAATCAATAAAATATATATATTTTTAAAAGTTCTAACTGGGAGAAAAAAAAAGTTCTTACTGGGAGAGCATTACCAAAGGGTGTAGGACAGGAATGGCTGGGCTTTGAAGGGTGAATAGGAATTGCTTGGTAGAGAAGAAAGAGGTGGGGATTTGGGAGCAGAAGCCCAATGATTAACAAGTCATTTCCCTCCCTGGCTGGTTTGGCTCAGCGGTTAGAGTGTCGGCCTGTGGACCAGAGAGACCCGGTTTGGTTTCCACTAAGGGCACGTACCTCTTTTGCAGTTTGTCCCCTGCCCTGGTTGGGTCGTGTGGGTGGCGACCAGTTGATGTGTCTCTCTCACATTGATGTTTCTCTCTCTTCCTCCCTCTTTCCCTCCCACTCTATCTGAAGATAAATGCAAAAATGTCCTCGGGTGAGGATAAAAAAAAGACTTTTTCCCATCTCTGAATCTTGGTCTCCTCATTTGTGAAATGGGAATAATAATATCTGCTCTTTGAAAGGGATCAGTGCATTGCATGGTATCAACTTATTTAATCAACACAGGATTCCTATGAGGAGGTGCTATTGTTATTCCTTTTTTACAGATGAGGAAACAGGCACAGAGAGGTTAAGTGACTTGTTAGTAAACCAAAGACCTGGTATTTGAACCCAGACAAGTTTGACTCTAGAGTCTGTGCTTTTAATCACTCTACTCTACCGCTTCTTTTTAAAAAAAATGTTTTTATTGATTTTTTAGAGAGATAGAAACATCGATGTGTGAGAGATACATCAGTTGGTTGCCTCCCACACGCCTCCTACTAGGGATCGAGCCCACAACCCAGGCATGTGCCCTGACCTGGACTCGAACCGGGACCTTTCAGTCCATGGGACGGATGCGCAATCCACTGAGCCACACCAGCTGGGCTACTCTACTGCTTCTTAAATACTAAGTGCCTGCTTTTCTCAGGCTGTGAACAAAACAAAATCCTGGTCATATGGTACTTGTATTCCATGATGGTGGCTAGTGGGATGATAGTTTGGGGTGGTTCATACACATGGGGGAGGGCGCAGAGAATTGAGGAAAGGCCTTGAATTCCAGGCCTAAGGATTAGTACCTCATTGTGGAGGAGGTGGGGAGCCACAAGAAGCACCTTAGCAGGGGTTGCTGGTCAGATGTATTCGGAAGAACCCTCTTCTGGGCCTTCCCCTGCCAGCATTTCCTCTCCAGCCCTACACACACTGACATCTTCCTTGGCACTAACAGCCCCAGGCCCACCATATCTTTTTAATCCCTCAGCCCTCCAGTCTGAGACAGGACCTCTTCTGCCCTTTACATGCCTCTACCTAACACCTTTATACACAGTTTCTAATCCTGGGTCCATTTGGGGGACAGGGAGGTGAAGGCTCAGAGAGAGGTATGGTATGGACTTAAGGCACTCAGCCCATCTGCCTATTTCTGACCTTCCTCCCATAACCCCCACCTCCTCTCCCCCAGACCTGAAGGCCTCCATTCTCGCCAGTGGTCTGGCAGCCAGGACTCCCAGATGGGCTTTCCCCGAGTGGACCTGGCCTCGGACCACCGCGCCTCGCTCTTTGCAGCTCGCACCCGCCGCAGCAACAGCTCTGAAGCCCTACTAGTGGACCGGGCAGCTGGGGGGGGAGCAGGCTCCCCACCTTTGCCTCTGGCTCCCCCTGCCACTGGTCCCCCAGTCTGTAAGAGCAGTGAGGTGCTGTATGAGCGCCCCCAACCAGCCCCTGCCTTCTCCTCCCGCACAGCTGGTCCCCCAGATCCTCCCCGGGCTGCCCGGCCAAGCTCAGCTGCCCCTGCCTCCCGTGGGGGCCCCCGGCTCCCACCTGTGTGTGGGGACTTCCTCTTGGACTATTCCCTTGACCGGGGCCTGCCCCGAGGAATTGGTGGGCCAGGCTGGGGGGAGCTGCTGCCTGCAGCTGAGGTCCCAGGACCCTTCTCCCGCCGGGATGGGCTCTTCACCATGTTCCCAGGCCCACCACCTGTGTATGCAGCGGACGGCAGTAGCCCCCTCCTCCGCAGCAAGGACCCCCACACCCGTGCCACCCGCACCAAGCCCTGTGGCCTGCCCTTGGAGGCTGCAGAGGGTCCAGAGGTGCATCCAAACCCTCTGCTATGGATGCCCCCACCCACCCGTATCCCTCCAGCTGGCGAGCGCAGTGGCCACAAGAATCTTGCTCTGGAGGGGCTACGGGACTGGTACATCCGGAACTCCGGACTGGCCTCGGGGCCCCAGCGCCGGCCTGTGCTCTCCCACATGGGCCCGCAACACCCACCCTTCCTCCATGCCCGCTGCTATGAGGTGGGCCAGGCGCTGTATGGGGCCCCCAGCCAGGCACCCCTCCCGCATTCGAGGAGTTTCACGGCGCCCCCTGTCTCCAGCAGGTATGGGGGGTGCTTTTACTGATGGGAAGGGGTCTCTTGAGGTAGATGGCAAAGGTCTCCAGGCTCAGGGGCAGGTAGTGTGAGCGTTAATGAGTTGAACCATAAGAGTGCTAGCTGCAGCTTTGGCACAGGGTCACTGGGCCTTGCCAGACCTACATTAATTAGTCCATGGGGTCTTGGTGGAGGGGTATCCTGGGCCCTGGTAGCAGCAGTTCTTTACTAAGCTATAGAAGAATTTTATGTTAACAACGAGTGCATGCCAGCTGAAAATGAACCTTGGAACCAGGGTACTGGGAGGAAGGGACATCCTGTGCCCTCGCCTTTCTCTCTCTCTCTCACCACGCCCCATGCCTGCGAGCCTCAAGGTGCTGTCCTGTGCCTCCCTCTACCTCTTTAACGAGCCTGTTTTCCTCTCTCTTTCTGTGTCTTGTACGTTTTTTCCTCTCTTCTCTGTCTTCCCACCCTGTCCTCCGGATTCCTGCTACCCCTTCTAAAGATACTACGCGGACTTCCTGTACCCCCCGGAGCTGAGCGCTCGTTTAAGTGACCTGACGCTAGAGGGGGAGCAGTCCTCCAGTTCTGACCCTCAGACCCCAGGGACACTGGTCTGACCCCTTCTGATATGCCCCTTGTTGGCCTGGGCATCACTTCAGTCTGGGGAGCACACAGCTGACCTCGCTGAGCCCTGGGGTATGGTTGCTCTTGGTCCTGGGCTGCGGGGGTGGGGGTGCTCCAACCTGATCTTCCAAGGGCCCTGGCTCCCTGTGGGCCGGTGTCTGATGTCCTGCTTCTCCTCTCATACTGTGCTGGGAACTGGGGGCCCTCAGCCAGCTTAAAGAGGGGGGTGTAATGGGGGCTCTAGGCCCCTTCCTCCATTTCTGTTTACAGTTGTGATTTAGGTTTTCACTGTCTTTCCCCAACACTAGATGTTTTATAAAAGGGAAACTGTGATCTCATCTGGTTGGGTTCATTCCTGTCCCATGCCCAGCCTGTTCCATTCAGGAACCCCCTCCATGAGACGGACCATATAGAGTCACAGGGTCCTGTTTGGGGCAGCTAGGGACTCTGGTGTGAACAGAACTACCACCCCCTACCAGGGCTGTTCTTGGGGAGGTGAGCTCTCCGCCCACATTTGGTGGGGGGCTTGGGTTTGTTTTCCCACCCCAGGGGTGCAGGAAGGAGCCCCAGTCCCTGTCTGCCTGTCTGTGCCCGCTTCCTCTGCCCCCAGAGTGAGATGGCCCAACCTTTGGCCTCAGTCTCTACCCTGACTATTCCTACTCTGGAGGCTCCACAGGAGGGCCCAAGGACAGAGCTATCGGGTGTGTTATGTCCTGGGATGCTGCTGTGGTGGAATCTGGCACCTGGTAGATGCCAGTAAAATCCTCAGGTGACGCCTGGCCACAGGCTGCGTCACATCTTCCTTGACTTTCCTTCCACCTACCACTTTTTAAACAAATCTACACAAGGTGTGTTTTCTATGATACCTGTCTGTGACTTTCTGGAGCTGGGGGTCCCCATACCCCCTTTACCTGGTGTTAAACTTTTCTTTTTGTATCAATGAATCTGGGCCCAAGACACTACCCACACTGGAAGGGGATTTCTAGAATAAATGTGTCAATTGAAACCACGTGTTGCTCTTCTCCCTGCCTTGCCTTGGGGCACACACTTGTAGTTAAGACCAGATATGTTTTTATAATACCATGTTATGAGAAATACAATACTGTGGAAACAGCCTGTAATAATGTCATCTGCTCTGGCTTTGTTTTGTGATGTGGGGCAACTTCTTTGCCTGTCTCTCTCTCTCTCTTTTTTTTTTTTGGTGGTACGTGCCCCTAGCGGGAACCGAACCCAGGACTCTCTGGTCCGCAGGCCACGGCTCAACCGCTGAGCCAAACTGGCCAGGGCTCTTTGCCTGTCTACGGTCAGATTTCTAGCCAATCCTGAACAAGAGCCCTTAGTAATACAAATGATAATGGGAACACTGCATGCCCTTAACTACCTGTGCATTAATGCCAGAGGTAACAGATTCCCAGAAGGAGAGATCACCCCATCAGCCCACATATTTGACAGAGAGACCCAGTCAGAAAGAGTCTAGCATAATTGAAAAACAGGCCACTATGATAGGCACAGTTGGCTTTGAGCGATGTAACAGCCTTTATTGTTGCAACAACACTGATATATATGCCTCATTCCAAGTCAGGGCTACCCTTACCCCACCCCGTGGTCCTCACCACTGTGAAACTTGGTGGGGGGGGCAGAATCCCTAAGCAGAGCAGGAGGGAGGCGAATGGAACTGGTGAGTGTTGGGGTTACTTGGGACCAAGGGTTCGACAGTATCAGGATAACTGACTTGCACCCAGAAGGGGAATGAGAACACTTGGGTCCTGAGGCCAAGATTTGGCAATGCCTTGTTCTGGGTTCAAAGCTAGGGTGTGGTCTGGAAAAGCCTTGGTCCAAGGTTCAAGATTTGAGAATGCTTTGGTCCCACACCCCAGCTTTGGGGCTGAGCATGGGAGACAGGTGGGTTCCAGATTAGGCTTGGGGGGAGTGTCTCCATCCAGAGTTTGAGGTTGGCCATGGATACTCAGGTCTCCAAGCCTGTTTTGAGATGGATGTGGGTGGCTCTTTGTCCCAAGTTCAGGGCTAGGGAAGACTCTGGTCCCTTAGGTTACGGGGACTAGGTATAAGGGATATCCCAGTTTTGGATTTAGGGGCAGGGGCAGGGGCAGGGAAGTGTTACAGATGCCCTGCTTTTTGAACTGGGCAAGGGGCTGCTATTTTAAGGGCTGGGAAAGGCTCTGAATCCCAGTTATGGGTCGGGGTTGGGGGAGGCATTCTCCAGGTCATAGGTACAGATACCAAGGCCCTAGGATCCAGCCTCCTGCTCTTGTCCCAGCGCCTCCAGTAGCAACCCCATTGGCGTCCGCTTGAGACCGATGCTTTCTATCTTATTCTCCAGCTTGTTCTTTAGGTTGCGCAGGCGCAGTGAGGCGTGCACCAGGATCACTGTGGGCAATACCGAAAGGAGTGGGGTCAGTGGAATGGAACATCAGCCTCTAGCCAATAGCAGTCCACAGAAGGGAACTGGACCACAGGCAGGCGGATGGAGTAGTCCAGTGGACAGGATACCTCTGATCTTGAAACTGTGGCCAAGAAACGCTTTGCAACAGGGGCATGGCCAGGGGGCGTGGCCAGGGAGGGCGCGGTGACCAAGACGTAGCTGATGGAAGGCACTTAATACCAGGAGTGAGGCCCCAAAAGGCAGTATTAATTAGAGGCGTTCCCAAAAGGGGGGGGGCGCTAAGCCAGGGATGGTGCTTTGTAAAGGGGTGTAGCCATGCCCGCCGGGTCTCCTAGCTCCCCCTCCGCCGGGGAACCAGGGCAGGGTGGGCCAGGCGCCACGCGAGCACGCTCTGGCCTTGTTTCCCGATGTCTCAGGGTAGTGGAGACTCACGAAGCACGGGCCCAGCAATGCTGAACAGGAAGGTGCAAGCGCCGCCTACCGCCCAGAGAACCAGGAGGCCAACGGCAAGCACTGCGGCCAGGCAGGCTGCGGGGTGACTGCGGCGGCAGCGGCGCATAGCAGCGCGGCTCTCAGCCGCCCACACCAGCACCCCGAGGGCCACCGCCACTACCAGTGCGCTTAGGAGGGTGTGCAGCGGGCGCACGTACCTGCAGGGACAAGAGAACTAAGCTAGTCAGCCAGTCCTGGAGAGGGCCGTCCAGACCAGCGTGCATCCGATCCCAGGCCCTAAGAGCTTTGGTCTCTTCTCTCCAGACCCTACAAGCCCGGCAAATACTCCCGCCAGTCCTATTTCCAACAAATCCACTCTCCAGGGCTTCCGACTCCCAGGAGTCCTGGACTCCCTTATAGACTTTTCAATCCTACAGCCTCATCTTCCTGAGCTTCAGGCCCTCCCATCCTGATGGGCTCCTTCCCTGCTCTTTCCTTCTGACCCTACCCCCGAAAGGCCCCACCCCATCCTGCCTCCAAATCCACCCTTTGAGCCCAACCAACCCTTGTAAATTCTTTTTCCTGGTCTCTGGTCAACGCATTTCCCTCTCTCCGAGCCCAGGGTCCTTAAAGCACCCCCCACCCCCCGCCCCGGCTTTAGATCCTACTCTCAACTTCCAATCCCACCCAGATCCCTCCTCCCGGTTCTCCAACTCTTTCTGGTCTCAGGCCTTCTGTCCCTGGGTCCTCCCTCTTGGCTCAAGTTCCCTAATAAGTACCTGCTCCTACTGCGTTCCAATCATAGACAGACACCTCTCCAAGCCCAGATCCTCCACAATTCCACCCTCTAAATCCCTCAACTTGACTACAAGGAAATCTCTGTCCCTGCCCTAAGGCCTCCAGGGCCGCCCCACCACCCCCAGACACACTCACGTCCCACTTTCAAGCCCTCCTTATCTTCAGGTCCACCTCCCAGCCGTTTCATCTTCAGTTCCACATTCTCCATTCTCCTCAGGTCTTCCTTCCAGTCCCACTAATCCCCTCAGCCAGGCTGTATCCAACCCCAGGCCCTTATAACTAGGTCCCAAGTCCCCACTCCCACGGCCCTTAGGCTTTCTATCTCTGCTGAATTTGCCCTTCCATGCCTTGCAGCCCCCCTTCACCCCCACCCCCCGTTACCCTCCCCGGTTCTCAGAATCCCGCGAGCCCACCCTCCATGCCTCGCAGGCTTCCCTGGCCAACTGGCGCCTCCCTGCCTCCCTCCCTCCCTCACCCAGCCAGAGCAAGACCGAAGCCGAAGCAGACAAGGTAGTTGGTTTGGTAGTAGAGGAGGTTGTTGATGACACGGTGGCACCATCGCTGCGGGTCGCATGGATCCGGGGCCGCCAGACGCGCCGACCCCAGAACGAAGTCATCCAGGGCGCGTAGCGGTGGCAGCCGCACCTCCGACATCCTGCGAGTCGTTGTAGCTGGACCAGCCAGAAGAGCAGCCGAACTACAATACCCGTTACACCCCACGCCACCGCGGCGGACACCGGGAAATGGAGTCTGGGCTGAGCCGCAGCAACCCTACCCACCCAGGTGGACGGCGCAGGCGCAGCAACGCACGTGACCGGATGCAAACGCCAGAACAGGAACTGCCGGAAAATTAAGTATCGGCAGCGGAGCGAGGCGTTGCCATCCACTCCCAGGTGGGGGCGCCAAGGGGCCCTGTTCCGGGCGGCGCTGGCGGCGCAATTAACAGTAGCCCTAAGCAGAGATGATGGCAAGGACTGTCAGAAGGACCACAGCAGGATTTCACCTCCTTCCTGTCCAAGAGGGTCACACCTTTCCTGGAAACTCCTGCAGTGCCTTTTCAGTTTCATTTCCCCCAGGCCCCACCCCCGAGGTCCAGCCATAAGTGCTATTAAGGGCTTTTTATTCAAATTCATCATCAGAGTTTGGCTCTTTCTGAGAAGTTTTCTTTTTTTTTTTTTTTATCCTCACAGGTTGGATTAGGGCATCCTCTCTGGGTCTCTAGTACTTTTCAGATTGGAAACCCCAGGGCATCTCCTGCCCCTCTGGGTCCCTGGCCTGGCCCTGTGGGCATACAGTCCTTAAGGACACAATCAAGAAGTGCTTGGGAGAAATGAGCTGTTTAGGCATTGCTCTGCGTGGAGTGGAAAGTGGGCACCTTCCCCGTTAGTGCTTGCTGGATGGTGGCTTCCAGCACTCCCACCCCCATAAATGCTTTGCACTTTGCCACTGCAGGTCCCTAGCACAACCCACAGGGTCCTTAAAAGTCATCATCATCACAGATGTCAAGGTACACATCGAAAGCCTCTCTGTTGCAGTTTCCATCAGGAGTGAAGACATATTTGTGGAAGGTCCCATCTACACAGATGGCTGGAGGAGGGGGGAAGATCAGTAAAAAGTTAGAGGCTGCCAAAGCCACACACTTGAATCCAGGTGTCCCATGGCCTATAGTCTCCTTCCAGGCCTTTTCCCACATGCCATTCCCCTCACTGATAACAGTTGAACCACCCATTCTAGTTTGTTCAGGTTTCCTATTTCCTAAAACTCTTTCAGGTCCAACCTGCAGGCCTTTGCCCATGCAATAACCCCCAGTCAAGGGTTAGTCCCACTCACCAATTACAGAGTTGACATTCTTGGAAGTGTTTCGACCAAAGGCGCAGATGCAGGCTGACTCAGCAGGCACGGTGAAGCTTGCCAGGCTCCACTGAGAGTCCACGTACTGTCCAATCATAGGCCCGACCTTGCCCACTCGAGCCAGCCTGTAGGCAGCACTGACTAAGCCCAGGTGTGGTACATGGGCAGGGGAATGGAGACATGGCAGGATGGGCAGGGGGTAGGGGTACTCATACAGAGCGAGGGTACTCACGCAGAGCGGCGGTTGAGGCGGGTATCCTTGAGAGCAAAAATATGAACCGTGCCCTTATCACTGGAAGCGCACAGGAAGGAGGAGTCATGGCTGAAGTTGATGCTGGAAGACAGATCAGCAATGATGCCCACATGTAATGTAGCATGGAGTTGTTGGCCCACCATGCATACCCTGTATTTACCAGTAGAGAGTGGCGGGGTCAGTGCCTCGGCGCAGTTCCACCAGTTTCTCCTTGGACTGTGTGTCAAAAAGGCGAATAAGGGTGCCCTTCTGGGAGGCTGAGGCCACTACGGTACCTGGCTGGTTTAGGGACACACAGGCCACATCGCTCTGATGTGCATTGATGGTAAACGGAGCAGATGAAGTGCCGGGCTTTGTGCTTGCCAGGTCCTATGGTGGGAAGGAGCAGTTTGGGCTTGGGGTAGTATGGAGGGCAGGGTCCCAGAGTCCACAGGAGAAGTAGCCCACCCACCCACCCACCCCTGCGCATTGGACAACTCACCACAAGTTGCAGACTCCCACACTTGTGTCCTGGGAACACTAGCAGTTGTTTCTCCAGGCTGGGGCAGAGGTCACAGAGCCCTAGGGTGTGAGGATGAAGTGGGGGTGGGTTGGTGAAGGGGAGACAGGGGCCAGGCAGTAGTCAGGCAGGGTCTCAGGATGGACAGAGCTGGATAAGGGCTGGTCTTTAACCTTCCATGATACATGTTACCCAGAGAACCCTCAGGGTGCTGCCCTCAGTTGTGCTCTCCACAGGTGAGGCATATTCCCTTCTTTCCTATGCATCTGTGGCAGCCCCAGGAGGCCCAGGGATCTCTGACACACCCACCCATGTGCTTACTAGGTGTTTTTGCTCTGCTATCAGGAGCACCCGGGGTGGGGCAGAGCTAGTAGCAGAAAGAGAGAACTGGTAAAGGGATGGAAAGATGGGGAATATGTGCACCTCAGGCCATCTGAGCATCTCTGTGCAGACTCTCCCTGCCTCTCTTTTCCCATTTCTCTCTGTGTGCCCTTCCCATTTTCTCTTAATATCCTGCCCTTCACCTCATCCATTGCCTCCTGCCCTTATTCCTGCATATCTGGGTCTTCTCACCCTTTGGGTTGTCCCGGGTGTCAAACTCAAACAGCTTTCGGGGATTGTCGGGGAAGGAGTACACATAGATGCGGTTCCTCAGCACAATCACGATTCTGTGAGCATCACATAACACAGGACAGTCGTGAGGAGAGAGCAGATGCCCAGGCAGAACTAACCCTCTCACCTACTGTGGGGACCTCCTACCTCCCCCAACCCCAGTCCACCTCAGGCTCACTTGTCATGGCGCATACGCACAGCCAGCACTGGCTTGGTGAAGGTGAACTCCAGCACCAGCTTGTCCTTGGAGTCCTTGCCTTCCCGAGCATCGTCCCAGATCAGCACTGCTGGGCAGATAGGTGTATTGTTGGGGCCAAGGTTTAAGGTGAAGGACAGCCCTGCTGACACAAGACCCATCTCTACTCCCCATGGGACCTCAACCCACTTGTTTAACCTTTCACTAACACCCAGTGTGAGCCTCACACAGCATGAGCATTTGTGGGAGTGATTCCTGAGAGAATGGGTTCTAGAACTGTTATACCCATTTACAGGTGAGGAAACTGAGATTCCAAGGGATTGATTATTTGGCCAAGGAACTCACAGCCCATCAGCAAGCAAGCAGGGACTTGCACCCAGGCCTGTAACTTCCTGTCACTATTTCTGCCTCCAGGGTCCTAGTCCCTGCACTCCTGAAATTTGTGAGAAATCCTAGGCTCTGTAACTTGCCTAGGCCAAATCTTGCCATGTTCCAATGGGATCAACAAAAACTCTTTAAAACAAGATGGTGCTTGAGGCTCATGGCGAGTGATCACTGGGGAGACAGCTTCAAGATGTTAAAACCTATTGGTTGTATGACCTGAGGTCGTTCAACCTCTCTGGGTCTCAGTTTCTTCATCTGTAGAAACTGAGTGGGAGTGATTCTTGAGAGAACAGATTCTAGAACTGTTATACCCGATATAGAGTATACTGCATAGAATTACTGGGAGGGGTAAATGAGTTAATACATGTAAAGTGCTTAGAACAGTACCAGGCTGACAGCAAGCACCCTATAAGTAAAGACATGGCATGCAGGAGGCAGTCAATTAACATTTGTTAAATGAAGACAAAACACCAAGCTTCTTAGGCTATAAGACCCATGACTTCCAAGCTGTAGGCTTCACTGTGTAACTCTAAGGTGCTCTGACATCTTCATCTGCCAATACCTTTGGTTGCCTGGGGGAGACCAGGATTCCAGGGAATCTGGTCTGGGCCAAGGGTGGGATGAGATGAGGGTACTTACCTGAGATCTCTGAGAACTTGGGGCTGCTACCACCGCCCACCAGGGCCAGCAGGTTGGAGCGGTACAGCATTTCCACCAGGCCCATGCTGCCTACCTGCTCATGGTCTAGACAAGAACCAGGGTGTCAGCAGGAATGGGAACCAATGCTCAGCCTGTCCCTTCTGCCCACTGCCTCTCTCCCACTGATGGCTCACCCAGATGCCCCTTCTCCATCAATGGCTCCACGTTGTAGATACGCACGCCTGTCTCCATGGCACAGCAAAAGCAGCCTGGGGAATGGGAGGAATCCATGCTGCCTCAAAGGAAGCAGCTAGGGCTGCTTAACACCCACCTCTGACCATTCTCTCCCTTCCTCCTTCCCTCCCACAGGGATACAGGCACAAGTCTCTCACTTTGGTCTTGGTTGAAACGCAGGCTGGTCACTCCTCGAAGTGGCTGCTGAGTCATGATCCAGGATTGCTGCCCTGGACACAAATGGGGTAGGGTTGGAAAGAGTCCTGGGGTCTGCCCTCCAAGTCCTAGAGCTCCTGTCCATAACTAATTTTTTCCTTCTCCTACTCTGCTACCTACTAACCACAGAAGGACTACAAATAAGACAAAAACAGGGAAAAGAGTCCTGGGGTCTCTAAGCTCCCAAGATCCAAACAACATGGACAGGAACCTCCCCATCTTCTCACATTTGGTTGACCCAGCTCAAGGGCTACCCTGAACCCCCACCTCCTCCTTACTACCCACAAACTGCTTGTCAGAAAGTAATAAGAAAGTAAATACCCAGTGATATCTCCTCCCTATCCCCACACAATCCTGACCCCAATGCCCAACACTGCATTTTTTTTTTTTTGGCCTGGAATCACCCCCTACCCACTTCTCATCTTCACACCTAAACGTAGCATGCAACTCCACATGTCAACAAATGGGGAGAGGAGGCTAGGACATTCACCTCTTCCCGTACCTCCACAACCTGGTCCTAAGACCAACTATGGTTGGTCCATCGCCCAGATGAACTCCCCCGCTCACGCCCTTCTGAACCCCCCAACCTATTCCATCACCCTAGAGTGCTTTCACACCTTCCTTCCTCACGGGCTTCCCCCAACTCCTCCAGGATCCCAGCCTACCTTGAAATGACGCCTTCTCATGCCATGCTAACTTCCAACAAGGACCAGCCTGGATGTTTCCCCAGATCCCCTTATGCCTAAAGACACTACCTCAGAATCCCCTATCACTCCAAATCCCCCAGCCCTGGGACAGCCTCTCCTATGTGCTCTGCTGTCCCTGGCTCCAACATGGGTTGGCTTGGACCTACCCCCAGGAATCCTGTCCCCCTAAGATTTGTGGAAAAAAGAGGGGTTCTACAGAAAGTAACCTCACAGGGTGATCTGATCATAAATTTCTAACTGGGCAGGTCATGGTGGGTAGTCACACCACAGGCATATAACTTTTTTTATTTATTGTTCCTCACCCGAGGATATTTTTCTATTTATCATTAGATAGAGTGGGAGGGAGGGAGAGAGAGAGAGAAATGTTGATGTGATAGAGCCACATCGACTGGTTGTCTCCCACATGACCCAACCAGGACTGGGGAGGAACCGAAACCAAGGTACATGCCC